AGGCTTTTCAGTACTTAACGGATTTAGATATCTTGAAATGCTTCTAGCTTCCTTCTCTGCATATTCTCCTTTGTGCCTTTTTGTTCTTTTGTTGGCTGGTATTTCTTGATTTTGAAATCGTGTCTTTACCTTTAATCTGGTTAGAATTCTCTGAACTGGAAGATATCATCTTGCAAATGTCTCTTTCCTTTTCCTTTCTTCAGGTCACTGTCCTACGACTTGAAAGTTCACAACTTGCTCTCTGTCACCCATCCCAAACCTGCTTGAGCTCAGGTGTACCCAAATCAATACCACTGGAGTAGAAAGGGTTTATTTATTGAGCACCTTACTACGTCCTACCTTCTGGGACATGAACTCATAGAATCCCCACCAAAATCTTGCAAGGGAAGTTGACTGTTACCATATATAGAACGGAAAAGTGAGACTCATAAAGGCTAATTTTATTGGCAAGGTTGAGTTTGGAACAAATATTCTTATGACTACATCACATTATCTTTTACTGTTCAGCATCTACATGTTTTAAAGCCATCCTGAAGTTTGCACAGTATAGATGGATTTAGGATTTGGAGTCTGGTACTCCTGGGTCTGATTTTCAGCCCCACCTTTTATTAACTGTTAAATCCTGGGGAAATTATTTAACTTTTTCCAAGATTTTGCTATCTTATACATAAAAGCGTGATATTTTTAGACCTTCCATTAGGACTTAGGTGAGACACTATGAGGTAAAGTTCCTACCACAGTGTTGGGCACATAGTGCATATTACAGCTCTTCTCTTTCTCTCCCCTGTTCCCTTGCTCTTCCCCCAGCCTTGTCTCCTCTTCCTCTTCCCATTGTTCCCCATCTCCGCACCTTCTTACTCTCACCTCCTCTTTGCTTTCCATCTGCTCTCTTTTCTTTCATTCCCAACACCCACCTGATCACCTCCTCTTTTTCTGTCATTCCTCATCACTAACCCCCTTGTCACTTCTTTTATTTTATGAAGCCGCTAGTTTCCCTGACTAGGAGAAATAACTAAGAGGTGTGTTCTTGGGAGCATTAAGTGTGGTTGATGTTGAGTAGAAAAGAGTAATGGTGGTGCAAGGAGAGACCATGATCAGCTGAGACAGATATCACATCCACGAAAGTATCTGTGACATAATTGACTCAAGGCAAGGTGAGCAACAAGGATAGCTCATTTATTGTATTAGGTTGGAGTGATAATTAATAAACAAACACGGCGCTTCCTTGAAGACAGGAACGTGTCAGGGCCAGAAGGGACAATGGCAAAAAGGAAATGGGAGTAATAGTCATCTTTCATCTTCTGTCTTTATCACTCTCTCTCTAGGAGTAGCTTTTTACTCGTATAACAAGAGTAACTAATGTGGAAAGCCCACAATAAACACAGTGAACTTTGATAATTCAGTTTTGAAACTCACATGCAATGCATAATATTTGTTCTCATGCTAAAAAATTCCTACTATATTCCCCTACTGAAAAAACCAAATAGGTAAAAACTCCATGAAGCCAAGATTCCCAGTGAATCTTTCCCAGCATGTTTGAATGTTACAAATAACCTCCTGTATTTTCTGGAATCGTGAACTCACTGAGAAATTTGTGTCCAGTCTAAGAGAGAGAAACTGATGAATAGAAACAGAGAAATGGAGATGGAGGGAGGACAGAGAAGAAGGAGAGAGAAGGCAGTTTTTTTTCTTTTTTCAGTGTGGGTCATGAGAACAGAAACAGTGCGAGTCATAGCAGATTCCCCATACTAGCAGGAGGATGGAGATCTGCAGGTTACCAGAGAAGCGGACCATTGATTTCTCTCCTTATACTTCAACTGTACTGGTAGGATCATGAGGGAAATTGTCATGTTCTGATTACCTCTTATTCACTCCATTGGTGAGGGAGGGATGCCCCACTTTTTTTGTTTTTTGAGGAGATCAGCCCTGTGCTAACATCTGCCAATCCTTTTCTTCTTTTGCTGAGGAACACCGGCCCTGAGCTAACATCCGTGCCCATCTTCCTCCACTTTATATGGGATGCTGCCACAGCATGGCTTGCCAAGCGGTGCGTCGGTGCACGCCCGCAATCCAAACTGGTGAACCCTGGGCTGCTGCAGCAGAGCGCACACACTTAACCACTTGGGCCACCTGGCTGCCCCGGGATGCCCCACTTTAGATAGAATGAAATGACAGATCAGACAACAGCTGCACAGATGAGACTGACAGCAGTATAGAAGTCACATACGTTCATAGCCTGAGAGAGAAGGACATCGGACACCCCCCAGGACCACCTGGGTGTGGCACTCATGAGCAGAGTGAATAAGCAGGGGCTGTAGGAGGCAGGTTTTGTGGTAATAAGAGGAGGAGATGTACGCTGGTTCTCTTACATCTATGGAAAAATCCAATCATGAAAATTCATGAGTTTGATGCAGTGGGTTAATATGTGTATAGATTAATCCCTGGGGAGATGTCTAGGACTATCTGATGCGTATCAAGAACATTCAATCCCTGGAAGAGAAAAACTCAATGTCCATCTCTCCTGCTGACTAAATAATGATCCAGGCTGTGGGACCCAGTGTAAGCATCCAAGAAACTTCCCTTTACTCTTGTTTTTAATAAGAATTTCACTGAAGTATAAATTGCATGCCATAAAATCCACCTGTTAAAAGTGTACAAAACCTTGTAGAGAGAAATTTAGGAAGATCTACATCAATGGAAAGACATCCCATGTTCACGGATGAGGAGACTTAATATGGTTAAGGTGGCAGTACTCCCCAAATGTATCTTATTATTGTCTCTGCCCTTTCCTCTCTTCTCCTTTGTGTGCTCCCATTATGCGTATGTTGCTATACCTGATGGTGTCCCATAGGGCTCTGAGGCTCTCTTCACACTTTTCTTTCTTTTATTCAGATTGGATAATATCTAGTGATCTATCATTAAGTTTACTGATTCTTTTTCTTGCTCATATCTGCTGCGGTGCCCCTCTAGTGAGTTTTTAATTTTTGTTATTATAGTTTTACTGTCCAGAATTTCCATTTGGTCCTTATAAAAAACAATATGTAATTCTCTATTGGTGTTCTCTACTGGATGCGTCAATGTCATACTACTTTCTTTTAATTCTATAACATGGCTTCTTTTCATTCTTTGAGCATATACATAATATATGCTTTGGAGTCTTTGTCTGGTAAGTCCACCACCTGCACCGCTGAGATATACCTCCTACTGATTCCTTTTTTTTTCTGTGTACAGGACCTTTTTTTCTGTTTCTTTGCATATCTCATAACTTTTTGTCAAAAACAAGGCATTTTTAGAGAATAGGTTGTCACTACTCTGGGTTGTGATTCACTCCCTAACCTGGGGTTATTTATGTTGTTCTTTATTTGTTGGGTTAGTCTCTTGCCTGGACTAATTCTGTGAAGACTGTTTACCCTGTCATGACTGCTGATATCCCTGCTCAGTTGTTCTTTTATAAGTTATTGTTTGTCTCTTCAAACCTGGCTTCTCAGGAGACACCTCTGTTTCAGCATAGCTTAGTGGGGAGCCAGTGATTGGTCAGAGGTAGTGTTGAAAAATCTTGAGTCAGTTCAGCTTCCACCGTGTACCGGTGGATCTTTGTATGAACTTGGACACACGTTTAAAGTTTAGGCAGTTGACAATTACTTTTGTGGACACAAAGCCTTACATTCAGCCAGGAAGGAGTAGACAGCTAGGGTGCTCTCTGCTCTCATGCAGCCCTGCACATGAGCACAGACTCCTAGATCCCCAAGGATATGTGGCAGCTTATCAAGTCCTATTTGGGCTGTCTTGTTCCCTACATCTCCCAGTTAAAACGTGGCTAGTCTGCTGCTCTGTTTTTCGCCCAACTTGCCCCACTACCTTGTGTGATGTGGATCCCTCCTGAAGTTAGCCCCTGGAGGTTGCTACTGTTTTTGACAATGTCCATGGGTATGTGATTTGTGATGGCTGAAGCAGCAAGTAAGATTAGTTGGCAATTGAGGTCATCTAGGAGGGATGGGCTGACACTTAGGCCTGGGGAGTTATGTTCAAAAAGGTGACACTTTTCAAGGTGAAAGTTAAGATACTCTACTTTTCAGTACACAGTATGTGGCTAAGTTCGAGGGGGTAGAAGGATTCATGGAGGACAGACAGAAGGATGCATGGATTCCCACCCATGGTGAGGTGGTTTTCATGGAACACCTACTGTATACATAGTCCCCACATCAGCTTAAAGTTCTCAATATACAGAACTCACCTTGCACTGTAAGGAACAGATTGTTATGTGCATTTTGCAAGTGAGAAAATAGAGGCTCAGAACAAGAGAAGCATTTAATAATGAGTAAGAGACAGCTCCAGGCCTTTCTTATCTTGTCTGGAAAATGGTCTGTGTTTCCAGTGTTTCTTGAGCTTTGAGCCAGGATGGAGAAGCTCTTTGGTGTAGATGAATATGGTCGAGTGTGGCACGTGTAGGGAAACTTCCACTCTGAAAAGATCCACTAGGCTAGTTGGGTCCAACAGCAGATTGGCCCCACTCATCCTCCCTCTTTGAGGAGTTCTCTGAGCCTTAGTTTCCTCCTCCTTCAAATGGAGACTTGCATGGCTGCCTTATCAGGTTTCTTTGAAGCTCCTACAGGAAGCTCATTGAGCCTTGTGCCTGATGCTGAGTCCGTGGTCGGGAAATGTGGTAGATGCTGTTGAACACCTGTGAGACAAAAATGGTCTTTATCACTCTCTCATCTCTTTGCCTGGTATAGAACACTGGAACTGAAATTGTTTTTACAGACATTTTTGCCACATTTTAAGCTATTGAGTCTCAAGGACATTATACTGGTAGCCAATGTCGTGTGCATGCTACCTGAATGATAAACTTGAACTTCATGCTCTCAGGCTTAGGAATGCACAGGCGCTCTCTTGGTGAGGTTGATTCTTATCAGGTTGAGGGGGAGTGGTGTAAGGTGTAAGGGGGTAGATAAAAAGGCAGCACCCTTTGAAGTTTGTCAGTCTCAGGAAGGCAAGCTGTCATGGCACTGCATTTGGGAATCTTTCTGATTTGGGCTGGCACCTGTGTCTTTTTACAGCTGGACCATGTGGATGGAGGTGAGGGAGGGGAGATGGGCTGGAATTGGTATGGAAGAAGCTACACCAGACACAGGTTGATGTGTAATAGAAAAATTTGAATAATAGGGGTGAGAAATATACCTGCCAATTCTTGAGCATGTCCCAAGGACCAGACACCATTGAGGGATTTACATTTCATTTAATTTTCAAACAAGCCTTTGAAATGTAAATCTAGTCGATTGTACTAAAAAACCCACAGTTTTACTGGCTGTCAACTCTCACGACAGCTGTTGCATTACAAAATATCTGTTCCAATGTCCCAGACATGGGGAGCCTATATACAGGGTTAGTTATATTGTTTAAATGAAGAGTTTTTGATGTAAATAGAATTTAATGGTTGGAATAGCAGGAAAGGTGTGGTCTCAGGTAACATCTTATGATTACTGTGGTGTAATTCATGTATGTCAGTATGATAGCAGTGAGAAAGTGTAAGATTCTTACTCGTCTGTTATGTTTAGTCCTCTAGTGTACACATCCAGAGTGTATCTATTTAGAACAAATATGGACATCAAAATATGAAAAAAAATACAGTATTGCTAATCCTTATTAGTACATTGTATAGTAGATTACTGGAACTAACACTTAAAAATGTTTTTAGAGGGAAGATCTTGTGTTAAATATTTTTACTACAATAAAAATTATAAAACTTTTAGTATGAAAAAAAGAAAGTTAGAGATGCAGAGTGGGTCCTACTATAGAATGTATTCAGATTGCCTTAATTTTGTTCTCTCTCCTCCTCCATCCATCTCCTCTCCTCCTGAATTTCTTCCAGTTCATAAGCTGCTTAAGACCTGCTATTTTGCTGGAAAGAAACCAGGTAATTGATTCTGAAAATAATGAAACAAATCAACAATCAAATAAAACAACCTAACATGTGTGGGGCGTGGTAACTGAGATAATAGTCTTCTGAGATATTTTACATGCAAGAACTAATTTCATCCTCTCAGTAATGGAAGAGGAAAGTGCACACATCCCCAGGCTGTATGTGAAGAACAAGGGGCCCTTCACAGAGGTGTTTACTCATCAAGGACAAGCAGCCTGTAGATAGTGGAACAAGAATCTGAACCCAGGTCAGGGCTTCAGGGCTGGTGCCGTATGCCAGGGTACATAGGGCTTCATTCCAAGGGATGGTGTTCTAATCATGGAGCCTGTCCAAGAGGCATCAGGCAGGATTGGGTGGGGATATAGTATTCAAACAGAAATATGCTGTGAGTTGTGGAGAGTGGATATTTGTGACCAGTAGATCCAGTGATGAGGCAGAGAGCATTCATCCAGGCCACAGGTACCTTGGTCAGGTCCACAGAATCACAAAGCCCTGTGGCTTCCTGTAATTTTCATCTTTAATCCGTTAAAATGGCTAAGTCAGTGCACACTGAAACTATCTTAGGTATGCCATGAATGTGGCACAGATAAAAATCAGGCTTCCAAATGATGTGAGGCAGAATATTAGTGACAAGAACAAGAAATTGCCTCTGTTCACAGATATGAAATCTCTTTAAAATTTTGGTATTGAATCTGGGAAAGCATAAACCACAGCTCTAGACACAACAGAGTAACAGGTGATAAAAATTGTGATCCAAAATTAGGCTGCTTTGTTGTCTAGCAAGCTCGTCCATTGCCTGGAGCTCCAATATCCATGGGAAATGCCTATGGGAAAATAACATGTCACTGGAAGTTAAAGAGCCTGTCCTAGTCCCTGAGGGTAGAGACCACATCATGTTGGCCTTGACATCGCTGATGTTTAGTAAAGGACTTTGTACATGGCAGGCCCTTGGTCATGATGAGTTAGCTGGAACAGAAATTTTGCCAGAGTTAATGCAGAAATAATGATAACCTAGAGCTGATGAATAGAATATCTTTGCTTTTTGCAGATAATAAATGTGTTTTCCCATTCATTTATGGAGGCAAAAGGTATTTTGATTGCATTAAGACGGATTCCCTATACAACTGGTGTTCTCTAACTGGAAATTATTCGGGGAGATGCAAATATTGTGTTAAGGAAGGTGAGTATGCAGCCTCTCCTCACATGAGGAGCATGTGGCTCCCCAGTTGAAGGGGAAATTTCCATAATTGCTGCCTAGATGGAAGCCTCAGGCATTACCTCATTTTGCCCAACATTTTCCTTTCGTGTCCCTTTCTCTTGATAACATGATAAAATTTTTCTATGAAGCACTTTCTCACCCAGTCCTTGTACTTTTCAGACTATGCCCCATGTGTCTTTCCCTTTATCTATCGTAACCAAACATATGACAAATGCACAAGTTTTGGGAGTAAGTTTTGGAGATTTTGGTGCTCACTCACTCCTAACTATGACCATGATGGAACATGGAGATATTGCTAGGAATAAAGGGTAAGTTTCCAGGGGAAGATGAGCAAAGGTGGGAGTGACCAGGGAAGAGATAGAGCTTGATAAAGAGATGGAGTACGGTGACAGAGAGGAGTGAGAGGCAAGAGGAGGCAGGTGGAGGGATGGGATGAGGTAGAAAGGATGCAGGAGGAACAGTGAGGAGCAGAGCTTTGGAGAGGAGAGAGGGGAGAAAAGTCAGAAAGAGAGTAAGAGACAAAAGGCAAAATGCAAAAGCTAGAGAGAGGAGAGTTAGGAAAGTAAGAAGAAAGAGAGTTTGCTGGAGGAATAAATGGAAGGAGGAGGATCTGGGTAGGGTTAGTGGCAAGAGAACACAGGGGGAGAGAAGGTGAGATGGGGGAAGAGAGAGTACAATATAGTCTTTTGAGCAAGTGTGAGAGAGCAGAAGTAGAAATGGGGAAGAGCGTAGAGAGAGATGAGAAAGAGGAGAAGTGATATAGACCTTTGCACTCATGTGACTGTCTGGAAAAAGAAATAGAACTCATTAACAATGAAGTCAACACTATGTTAAATTACTGTACAGTGCATCTAACCCATGGCCATGGATGCAATCAAGCCTTTGAAACCTAAGTGAAGAAAATCAAGAAATCTCAAGCATGAAGGTGATGCTCTGCACGACAGAGGTGAAATCCTTTGCCTGCCGCTCCACCATGTTCCCGCTGTGCATGGGTTCAATCAATAAAGCACTTTCCCTGCAGGTGTGATCTTGTTTTCCTTTCATGAAAGGAACCATCTTTCCAATAGGAGGGTCTCAGCCTGCACAGGTTGATCACACAGGCTCTTCATGTCCTGGCCCTCTCTTCCTCCAGACCCTGATGGAACATCAACGCGCATTGTAATTGTCCTTTCTGTGGGCTTGATTGAATGGTGGTTTAGTTAGTGGTGAGGCCACTGGGGTGTGGATGGGAGGAAGGTCCCAGAGGGTATGGAGGGCTGGTCCCTGTCATAAATGATTTGTCTTTCCTGACTTAGATGAAATGTTATTTCTTCCTGGAGCTATCCTCTGACTCCCCAGTATAAGGAGTCCTGTTCATGTCCCTCCAGTTCATCTACTCTCTACTTGCAATTAAACTCTCTGTCTTTCCTGGGGGACTGGAATCTTTGTGAGGACCAGATGAACTGTGTTCTTTGCCCTGGCATCAAGTACTAAGTGCAGAACCTCACACTTCCTTGGCCTTCAGACATTTTTCAGAATATCTACTACCCTTTTTAAAAAAACAAACAGATATTCTAGAAAAATAATATTTCAGCAAATAGCTAGGCTTGAATGAGACAAAGTTAAACTCACATGTGCCAGAAATTAAAACAGACCTTGAAGGCAAAGCCTAAGCTTTCTTCTGGTCCATGAGCAGCCACGAGAGATATGTAATAGTGTCTGTGGGACTGGGGGATGATCTTATAGTCACCATTCAGGGAAGTCACCCTTCATGGCCTCTCTGATGTTGGAGTTAGTAATTGAGAGTAGAACTGAAAACCAGGTCAGTGTAAGGGCTAGCCAGTTAAGGAGCCTAGAAAGTCTTGTCTTGTGGTCCCAGAGAACCAGACACAAATTTCTATTTTTGTCCCTCTGAGTGGATTATAGAGACACATTTATTCAAGAAAATATACTAAGTATCAGTCAGCACAATAAGGGTCTGTGGGATCTGAACTACCCTATGATCCCCACCCAGCCCACCAAAATCCCCCAGCTCTGTGTGATGAAAGTACCGTTATTGTAACCACCGGCCCTCTAGGATCGTTTCAACTGACCCTATCTTCTTAATAGAGTAATTAAGAGTTTTTTTCAGGATCTGAGAGTTCCCACTTGTCCAGTTTAGGCCAGTTAAGACCACTAACCCATCAACTGGGCCTGTGCAAATGTCTGATATGTGACCCTTTTGACATCAAAGGGCTGAAAACTCCACCCACAGATCATACCAACACCACTATTTTGTGAACATACTTCCTATGGAGAGCCATGAAGCTTGACTATGTTCGTTAGATCATCAACTACCTCACTTGTCCTTACCTCCAATCATCTGTCTCCACACTATGGACTGCCCCGACCTTCATCCCATAAATTTTGCCCCAAGTCCTGGATTGGGGAGATAGATCTGAGCGCATATGCCTCCTGTCTCCTTGCAGATTGATGTTGCAGTAAAGCTGTTTTCTTTTCCCAAAAGCTGATGCCATAACAATTGGTTTTTTTATGTGCCACTCTTTGGGTAGGAGATCCAATCTTCGTGTGGTAACATTTTGAGTGGGTGTAACCAAAAAGACAGATTCCATTTTCTTTCATCTCCAGGTCAAAGACTATAGCATCACCACCAGTGGGGCAGGCTGCCAGCCTAACTCATCCCCCTCGGCTCCATGTTGCAGAGGGTACTTCAGTTCCATGTGATGGAGAGGTTAGGGACTCTCTACTCCACCAAGATATCACTCATAGAACCCAGGATCTGCCCATCAACAGCAGGCTGAGAATACTGGGATCTCCATCATCCTTGCCCCAGCTTGCTTGCCATGAATGTTTTCCATGCTGGGCGAAACAAGCCAAGAAGGTCAGAGGGTGCCACCGCTGCCCAGCAGTGCTCTGTTTGTAAGGCAGGAGTGACATTCTGAGAGAAGCCCTCCACTGTCCCTGCCTCCAACTCCCAAGCTGTGGCTCAGAGACATTGATAAGCACAGAGAGCTTCAAAATTCTTCCCATAGAAAGTGACATTATTTTGCACAGAATCGGGGGGATGTTCATGACTAAGGGTGCTCTTGTAAATAATGGAGATTTGCGGGATAAGCAATGAAAAGGAGATTAGTAGCTCCATGCCATCAACAAGCTAAAGCCTAGGCTAGTGACTTAACCAGAGAGAACTAGGGAAAGAGACAACTGAGAGGAGTCCTCCTGGGGCCAGAAGAAACCTCAAATCTTGGCCTCAGAAGAAACCCCTGACTGAATTTAGTAGGATCTGATTGTGAAGTAATTCTTGTCCCAGGGCACCGTTTACAACAATAGACTAATCAGCCAGGAAATTAGTGTAACCTAACAGCTGGGTGGGATAGCAAAAGAGGCAGATAGCTTAACAGAGAGGTCAGGGAAGACAGTCAGACAGCCCTCCTAGAATCACTGTCTTTCCATGGTGAGTGTGTGTATGCCTAAGTAGGTGCACTGCAGAGAAAATAGACATAACTGAAATTGTCCAGCCAAGTCACTAATCAAATGAACAAACGACAACAAGAACAAGCCCTGGGTAGGTAGTAATCAGTGTCCAGTGTTGGGACAAGATATTATATAAAATGTCCAGGTTTCAGTGAAAAAAAAAGAGACAGAGTCAGCTCTATTGGCCTAGTGGTTAAAGTGGGGCACACCCTGGTTTGGCAGCCCAAGTTTGGTTCCTGGGCATGGAACCACACCACTCATCTGTCAGTAGCCATGCTGTGGCTTTGGCTCACAAGAAGAAGTAGAAGGACCTACAGCTAGAGCATACAACTATGCACTGGGACTTTGGGAAGGAAAAAAAAAAAAGAGAGGAAGATTGGCAACAGATGTTAGCTCAGGGCAACTCTTTTCCAGGAAATAAAAACGCTTTAAAAAAAAGTGAGGCATTTAAGGATATAAGAAAGTGTGGCTGATACACAAAGTTGCAGGGTACAAAATAAATTGAAAAATCAATTGTATTTTTATACACTGGCAATGAATAATCCAAAAACAAAGTGATGAAAACTATTCCATTTACAGTAATTTCTAAAATAATAAAATACTTAGGAATAATTTAACTGAAGAAGCATAAAAGTTATATTCATAAAAATTACAAAATATTGGGGCTAGCCCAGTGGCGCAAGCGGTTAAGTGTGCACACTCCACTGCAGCAGCCTGGGGTTTGCTGGTTCGGATCCCGGGTGCGCACTGATGCACTGCATGGCAAGCCATGCTGTGGCGGCGTCCCATATAATGTGGAGGAAGATGGGCAGGGATGTCAGCCCAGCCAGTCTTCCTCAGAAAAAAAAAGAGAAGGATTGGCAGATCCTAGCACAGGGCTGATCTTCCTCACACACACACAAAAAATTACAAAATATTGAAAGAAATTAAGGAGGGCCTAAATTATGGAAGGCTCACATGTTCATGGATTGGAAGACTTAATATTATTAAGATGGCAGTACTCCTAAATAGATCTCCAGATGCAATTCAATCTTTATAAAAACTCCAGCTGTCTTCTATGCAGAAAGTGACAAGCTGATCCTAAGTTTGCATGGAAATTCAAGGGACCCTAATAGCATAAACAGTCTTGAAGAGAAAGAACAAAATTGGAGGACTCACACTTCCCAATTTCAAAGCTTAGTGCAAAGCCAGAGTAATCAAGACAGTGTGATTCTAACCTTCGGAAAGACCATGGAAATAGAACTGAGAGACTGGAAATAAACCTTCATATTTATGGTCAAATGATTTTTGACAAGTGTGCCAAGACCATTCAACTAGAGAAAGAATACACTTTTCAACAAATGGTGCTGGGACAACTGGCTATCCACATGCAAAATGATGAACTTCAAGCCCAGTATTAGATATCCTCAAGGGAGTCCTGCAAGGGGAAACAAAAAGACAGTAGACAGTAACTCAAAGCCATATGGGTAATAAAGATCTCAATATATGCAAATACAAGGGCAATTATAAAAGGCAGTATTATTGTAACAATGATTTGTAACTGCGCTCTTTGTTTTCTACATGATTTAAGAGATGAATACATTTATTCCTCATTTTGTTAATGTGGTGTATCACGTTGATTGATTTGCGGATGATGAACCACCTCCGTGTCCCTGGTATAAATCCCACTTGATCATGGTGTATGATCCTTTTGATGTATTGCTGTATTCAGTTTGCCAATATACATTTTTTCCAGTAACTTTATTGAGATCATAATGGTTTATAACATTGAGTAATTTCAGGTGTACATTCTTGTTTATCAATTTCTGAGTAGACTTCATCGTGGTCACCCCAAGGAGTCTAATTATTGTCCTTCATTGCACATATGTGTCCCTTTACCTCTTTCACCCACTGCCCACCCCCCTTCACCTCTGATCTGTTCTCTTTATCCATGTATTTGTTATATTCCACATATGAGTGAAATCATGCAGTATTTGTCTTTCTCTGTCTGGCTTATTTCACTTAACATCACACCTTCAACGTCCATCCATGTTGTTGCAAATGGGACAATTTTGTCTTTTTTCGTAGCTGAGTAGTATTCCATTGTGTGTATATACCATATATCCCTTGTCCAATCATCAGTTGATGGGCATTTGGGTTGCTTCCATGTCTTGGCTATTGTGAATAATGCTGTAGTGAACATAGGGGTGCATAGATCTCTTTGGATCATCAATTTCAAGTTCATTGGATAAATGCCCAGTAGTGGGATAGTGAGATCATATGGTATTTCTATTTTTAATTTTTGAGAAATTTCCAAACTGTTTTCCATAATGGCTGCACAGTTTGCATTCCCACCAGCGGTGTATGAGGGTTCCCTTTTCTACACTTCCTCTCCAACATTTGTTGTTTTTTGTCTTGGTAATTATAGCCATTCTGACTGGTGTAAGGTGATATCTCATTGTTGTTTTGATTTGCAATTCCCTAATAATTAGTGATGTTGAACATCGTTTCATGTGTCTGTTGGC